ACGCGTGTAATACGCACGTTATCAATACTTTTGTTTTTGTACTTTTTTTTATCACTATGATACCCATTTCTATGGTAGCGCTATTCAATTTCATATGCTTCTTTTAAAATACTGTACAGGGCGTTACCCACAGTTGGCGCAGACACAACAGACAATGAAGTACCCGTAGCGCGCGTTCAGGACAATCGTTCCCCCATTCATCACGAACAATAAACCGCCACGCTGTTCTGTCCTCCGCTGTATCTGTTATTCAAGGCAGACGTTCTCATAATATAAGAAGGGTATTCATACTGTAACAGATTAAACATTGTATTACCGAGACCCATGAACTGAAATTAGATTTGGCAAGGCATGTTATGATTTTGACATAGCTATCTTACGGATATGTTGTCAGTAATTTATCTTATCTTATAAGATTACAACATGTATCAATTTGCAAAGCTAAGGTGATATTTCACATAAAAAATAACCACCTTTCCCCCCATTTGCATTTACTTCATTATTTTCATAGTATCACTGGAATTATTATCACCTCGACCTGGGCAACAATGTTTTTGCGTTAGGCACAACAGCCACTGACATTCTTCTATCACATTTACTCTTTATCTATTAAGGACATTCTGGAAAATGACTCCATCAAGCTGGACTGGATGTTCCGATACTCACTTGCCTACGACATTGTTAAAGGCATGCATTACATACACAGCAGCGTCATCAATTCCCATGGCAACCTGAAATCAACCAACTGTGTTGTTGATAGCAGGTTTGTGTTAAAAGTTACCGATTTTGGAATGAACCAATTCAAACTGGACGATGAAGATAAGGATATGGATTTTGAATCGCATCAGTATTTCCAGCGTAAGTAAAAATCAGTTATATTTATGCCATGTGTTGGTTGTATAGGTTCTTGAAATATTTCCTATCGGGTGGTAGTAGACTTCCTGCAATCCACCGATTTAATAATAGACCTTATTCTCAAATGGCCGCCGAGATCTCGTTGAAAGCGAGAGAACAACGAGAATGTTTTTTTGCTTAGCCATTAGTGTCATTCTATCAATTCATCGCGTGTAATCTATGTAACCATAGTGTTTAGAATAGCCGGCGCCATGAAAGTAAAGTCTCGCGGCTTCCTCTATCTCAGCGCGATCTCGCGCCCATTTTAGATGACTAAGGATAGGGGGAAAAAAACTATAACAGTACTTTATCCAAATTATTGAGAATACCGAACCCATTTTCACCAGGACATTTGCAATCACTCGTGCTCATTTCATATAAAGCTCGATACCCCAACTTATATAATGGGGAAGATGGAACGCTATTAAAGGGATGACAACAAGTCTCGTTTCACTCTCGCTCTCAGTGAGATCTGGACGGCTATTTGCATCTAAGGTCTAATATCCAGCACGCTGGGAGAGCGTTAAAATGCCGACGTGGCGCAACAGAACCTACTAAAATTCTTCAATGCCACGAGTTTTCAGAAGGTCGTTTTTTCACTAGTATACCTGTTAGTATATTTTCCCAGTTTCTATTTTACCTGCAATCTATGATCACTGTGTTTAGTTTGTACAATGATGTTTGCGTTTATTGCAGGCAAATTGTGGACGAGTCCTGAGCTACTTAGAATGACAGAGGCACCACTTGGTGGCACACAGAAGAGCGATGTTTATAGTTTCGGAGTTATACTTCAAGAGATTGTTCACAGATGTGGTCCATTCTACGTATCGCATATGGATCTATCACCACAAGGTAACACACAGCTACAACTGTCATAATTGTTTATCCTGAAATCGTGCATCGTGCCGTAATATATTCATTTCACAAATTA